TTTGAACTTAGAGCAAGGGTTTATTACTCTACTCTTTTTTTTACAGTGTACGGAATACTTGAGTACTTCGTAATTTTTGTTAGTGAAGTCCACTTCTCGAAATAGGAGACGAGAAAAAGGGAGGTGCATCTCCGATAGAGTTTATTCAGTGCAATACGGAAGGATGAAATGCCGAGCAGTTGCGACTTTATTTTCACTAATAAATGTGAAACCACCAAAGAGATGGAGAGAAAATGAGTTAGATATGTGTTAAATTGTTCAATTTGCTATTACTTGGACGGAATGAATATATTTGAGAGAATACATGTTTTAAACAATCAAATCGCAACATTCATCATATTCTTCACACTACGATAAGGCGTATAAACTTTCTTATTTCCTCTTCTCTTCTTATCACGGTGTTCACATAACAAGTAACACGTTTGACGTTACGTGATATACTTCTCTATATTACAATATTTTTTTTATTAATTCATTCATTAATTATTGAGTTAAATTATAATATCAAGCAAGGAACTAAAGCTGAATAAATCTTTGCAGTGAACGAAATCAAGTAAAACTGATAAACGTAATGTGGAACTTACTTTTTAAAGAAATTAAATGAAGAATATTCTTTAAGAGCATCACCTGGTGTTAATGAACAAGAAGAAAAAAGAAATCATACTGGGTGTGGATGGGTGTAGGTAATGTCTTGAAACACCCACATCCACCACACATCAATCAATGCCACATATTAGTTTGATGAATGTTTAATAAGCCTAGTCAAAAATCTATACAAAAAAGACCATGATCAATAGCAAATCACGTTAAGCTACATCATGATAATGCAAGACTACATATGAATGATATTGTTTTTAATGGCTAGTATTTATTTGAGCAATAAAAATATTGGAATGAGCAATAATTAAAATAAGATTTAGCAATAATTTGTGAGCAATAAAAAAACTTTATTTGAACAATTTTATATTATCAAATGTACAATAATTAATTCATGAAATAGCAGTATTAATTTTATATTTTAGCAATAAAAAAAAGAAAAACTACATTATTTTTAGTTACAACTGAAAATAAAAAATAAAAACGGAAAATATAGTGTATTATTATGTCAATAAAGCTCTTTTTTGCTTTAAATGGTCTGCCTCTTTTTCTTACGTATTTGCATAGATAAATGTGTTAGATCCGTAATATGTTTTTGTGAATATGCTGTTTATTTCCGAAAACTAAAAGCCTCCCTGTTATTACACGCACGTAGATATATATATTTGAGGTGACGGAATATACCTGAATGATCATATGAAAGGAAGAAATGAAGAATCCAAGAGATAGCAATATGGGAATGTACTTGACAGTAGGGAGCTGCACCGAGTTTTTTGGTCCCGATCAAAGAATCGTGAGCCATTCTATCATATCGAATACTGAACTGTTATTCGAATACATATTTTGTAGAGCAATGTTTGCTCTTTCAGACTGTTTGATTAAAATTGTGCAAGAGCCATTCATAGCCGAAGGTTTTTCAATAAAAATTCCAGTCCATAGTTTCGGGTCTGATCGGGTCCAAGTGTGGATTTAGACTTTTTTATTTAAAAACTTTCGGCTATGAATGGCTCTTATACAGTTTTAATTAAATAGTCTGAAAGAGCAAACATTGCTCTACAAAATGTGTATTTGAATAAGAGTTCAGTATTCTATATGATAGAATAGCTCATGATTCTTTGGTCGGTCCAGAAAAACCGGTGCAGCTCCTCCCTGACAGAAAGAAAAAGAACGAACACACACATGTATAGTATAGCATAACTCTCTCTTACAGCACATCTTTGAAATGTGCCATAACAAAATGAATCGATGTTGCCCTCTTTATATCAAATTTACCTTTAATTTAAATAAATTATTGCTCATTCAGTATAGTTATCGTTCATTAAATATAATTATTGCCCATTCAGAATATTTATTGCTAAATTTCATGATGGCTCATTTAAATTATTTTATTGCTCAATTAAATATAACTCGTTTTTAATTATCTTCAAGAAGAAAAATTCAGAGTTATAGCTCATCCACCATATTCGCCTGACCTTACTCCTTCAGACATTTGATTGTTCAGTTATCTGAAACGTAGTCTTGGTACCCATCCAGATACTACAAGTCTAGCTAAAGCGTTATCCAAGGAGCTCAATTCAATATCTGTTGAACAGTGCCAAAAAACATTGCAGAAGTGGATTGACGGGATGAAACTTTGTGTTGAACATCATGGGAACTACTTCGAACATTTACTGTAAGAAGATCAGCAAAATGTTTTTTCTATGAATAATTATTTGAAAGCCGGAGAACTTTTTTGACTGATCTATGTATGTATGTAGTCTCCAGCGAGCTGGAGAAACGGCAAAAATTTCAACTTCGGCAATCATTGTCGTGCTGAGATGTTGAAATTACAACAGAGAACCTATGAGCAAAAATATGATGGTAATCATTCTTCATTCTTATCTCGCACTGGTTAGACGCATTTATCGTTACTGTTTTTTGCGCTTTTTCTCATGCTCGGTTTTGTTTTTGCTCAAGTTTAACAATTGATCCAAACTCTCTCTGGGAGGAAATGTCTTGTTCAAATCCTCAATCGGCAAGTGCGGATCAACTGAAAATCAATACTTACGAAGATCAAGAAAATGATGAAGTGCATAGGTCGATGAATAATATTCCACCATACACCTCTAATGGGATGTTGTACGAGCTGCTTTTGGCTTATTACAATGTCACAGTGAACTTCATTCCTAGAAACTTTTTTCAGTCATCAATTCATCATCAGCATTCGTCAAACAGTCACATAAATCAACAACCTCTTGCTGTTTGTCATCTCCTGGGTGTGAAGGTGGGTGTAAGTATTCATGTTATCTACACCAACACCCTTCAAATTACATGTAGAACGATGAATAAATTGAATAAAATTTCAATTTTAGTTGTTTCGCATAATTTCAAGTTTTAGAAAAATATCTTTTCTATATTTACTTACGAGGGAACATTCCCAAGTGATCCGCTCCTTTTGCTTTCATATTTTGCCCATTTGTAGGGCCTATTATAGTAAGAAATATACTAAGAGGATTCTTGCCCTTGTTGCTTCTTTCGAAGGTTATAACCGTTTTACTGATTTTCGAGCCATTCGTAGGTGTTTACCGAACTAATCAAATTTCGGATTTTCTACCTGAAATTTAGTCCAGACATAGGTCTAATGATCCTTTGAATATAGTAACAATTTCAGCCAAATAGAATATTCCTTTATCGAGATATTGATTTTTCAAGTGAACTCAGTTTTTGAGACTTATCTGTGGCAAGCGGCTATTTTTTGAAATATCAAAATCTTGAGAAAAGAACATTCGTTTTGGTTGAAACTTTCAGGATATTCTAAAGGCCATTAGATCTATCTATGGACAAAATTTCAGGCAGAAAATCCGAAATTTGATTATTTTGGTAAACACCTACGAATGGCTCGAAAATCAGTAAAATGATCATAACTTTCGAAAGAAGCAACAAGAGCACAAATCCTCTTAGGCTTTTTCTTACTACAATAGGTCCTACATATGGACAAAATATGAAGGCAAACGAAGCGGATCACTAGAAAATGTTCCCTCGTTAGGGTATACCAAAAGTAGTGAGAGTGACACTTTAATACCGTATAGGAAACTTAAAGAAACTTTCTTTCTATAGTCTGATAAAGAAAAAAAGCTCTGTCTTTCTATGTTATTTGATCATACTTCAACTAATATCATAATAATAAAATTTCGATAAAATGTGCTTCGTTATCATATGTGTTGGTTTTATTAATACTCATTTTAAAAAATACTCACTCGTATTTTTTGAATAACTATTAATAGAAATAAGATAGAGAAGTGCGGTTTTCATCGTTGGAAACCGGAGATGAAGACACATCGAATCATGTATTCCAGGTTTTCATGATCTGTTTTTTTGTAAGATTTTCAATTGATCTTTTCAAGAACAAATTTAAATGGTAAGTTGTTTACAGTAAATTTTCAATTCTCAAGTATAAATTCAAACCACTTATCGACGATCTACGAAGTGTGGAAGGCTGAGATGAATAATATGCATTCTAGTCGAGTCTCAAATATGGTTTTGTAGCAAAATCTGTGGAAAAAGCTCACTTTTGTGCTGTTCCCTTTTTATCATAAAAAAGAAACATTTTTCCAACTGTTAGAAAATTGAATAAAAATACTTCAGAAATCAATTTTAGAAAAACTTGCAATAAACGATTTGATGCATCTTCGTTTCCTCTTTCCAACGCTGAAAACCGCACTTCTCTATCTTGTTTCTATCAAAACTTATTCAAGAAATACTCAATAGCCGTCATGGCATCGTGACACATGCGAACAAAACAGATCTTATCGAAATTTTATTATTATGATATTACCTGAAGTATGATCAAATAGCATATAAAGATAGAGCTTTTTCCTCTCTATCAGGCTATATAGAAAGGAAGTTTCTTTAAGTTTACCATACCGTATTAAAGTGTTACTCTCACTAGTTTTGGTATGCCCTAAGCATTGGCTTTCTTAAATGAAAGATATCTTCTTTCAAACAATGATGGATTATCAATGTCGAACTTATGCAGATAATAGATGTATATTTCTTATAACAGAATAAGGTTTTAGATTCGATGTTTTGTTACTTTCATATTTTTAATTAAATAATTATATGCAGTGCATCATGTGTACAAAATAGAAGAAAACGAAAAAAGACTTTTTTTCGTTTTCTATATAGAAAAATAACGTCGAAAGAATATCAGTGTGTAGGCTAGATGCATAATAATGCATATACTAAAAGAATAAGTATGCACTCTATAAAAATGATATATATTTGTTCTTCACGAAAATTTTCCTTTTTTTATTGAATACATAAATGTAACAACAACAAACAAGAAAAAATAAATATAAAGAAAAATCATCAGCTTATTTACTAGTCTTTCTTTGCAATGCTGTAGGACTAACACTTGATGCACCTTAAGATGGACGATGACCAGCAACATGTAATGATGATAATAGAGGTGATATACCACTTGCATTAGTCTACAAATAATTAATAAAAAATAAATTCAAAATGAAAGCAATTATCTATCATTGACATTTGAGTATATGATGACAATGGTGAACTATCAGCAATATCTGAAGAAGGTTCATGTGGTAGTGGTGATGGTAACGACAAACTAGCTAAAAAAATAACAAAAAAATCTTTTTACGAAAAAAAATGATTTTGTTTTCGTTTTAACTGTTGAACGATAAAGATGAGGTTCAATAACGATTATACCAGTTCGTTTTTCATCGTCTCCATTCTAAGAACGAAAAAAATCGAATAGAGCTAAAACCGAAAAAAATCAATAAAACATACAGTTAAGGCCCCCCCCTCAGAAAAGTCAATTTTTCGAAAAAAACTCAATTTTAAGATTTATACATATACTGATAGCCCTTGTGATGAACTACAACCTGGCATAATTTGTTTTGCCAAAACATGTAGATTGGTCTTTTTTTCTGAGGATGTGATACTGATAGGGAACTGCAACGTGGTCCCGGTCCCGGGACCAAAATTTGACTTTTTGCGGGACCGGGACCGGGACTAAAAATTTTTCATACTGGTCCCGGTCAGTCTTTTATGCAATTTGTCGCCATTTATCTTATTTTTTTGACAATAGTAATGGCGATTCAGTATAAATAATCAATTCGATAATAAATCCATTAGATAGAACAGTAGATATAAAAGAAGAGAGAAATGAGTAAATGACTACTACGAAGTACATGAGAATTTTTAACAAAATTCAATGGTTATTTTTATTTATTCGAGTTTTCAATGAAATTCTTTCACTTTAACACTGGATATAAAAGAATTCTCGTACTGTTAACGAATCAAAATCATTCATGTCAATTTTATGTATTTATAAAAGTACATAGATCGTAAAAAAAATTGTTCGATTTTAGGAATGAAGCTAATGTCAAAGACCGGGACCGGGACTGGAAAAAACTTTGGCCGGGACCGGGAGCGGGACTAAAAAACAATATTTGACCGGGACCGGGACCGGGAATAAAAAAAGTGATTTTGCAGTTCCCTACTTATAATTTCAAACTTTTACGAAAAAGCTCTAAAAATCTTTAACTCACAAGGGATTTAACGAAAATTTTGGTTGTTCAGTGCGAAGTACTGTATAAGGTTTATAATCAATATCTGGATTATCAATATCTTGTAGATTATAACCACCAATTGAACCTGCATAACCTGGTATCTGTTGTGCACGTGATAATGGTGCAACATTATTAAAAGGTTTTCGATTGTAATGAATATTTCGTGATTGTACACGATCCCATTGAAGAATATTACATGTACGTGTATCAAGAAATGATAAATGACTTTTAGATTTTAATAATGGATCACTACCATTTACTTCATAAGTTGTTAATGGTACTGGTAATTTTGGTGGTAATTTTGAATCTAAAAATTTTTTTTCATTTGAGAAGAGAAAGAAAAACAATAAAATAAAGAATGATTTATTATTTTATCTTACCCCATGGTATTTCATCAAAAGCAGCTTGTTGCATTGATGTATAAATAAAATGATGAGCGATTGCATTGCGATTTAATTCTTGTTGTTGTTTTGGATTATATGTAAGATTAGATTGAAGTGATCGATTTTGAAGATCATCATCTGTTTGTTTACAATCTTCTGTACGATTTAATGCACCTAAAAGGAAGGGAATTGTGATAGAATATCATAGGAAAAATAGAAAGAAAAAAATTACAATTAGAATTTAATCGATTACGAATTGTTTGATCTAAAACTAATCGATCGGTAAAACGAGGTACAATTTCATTATTAGGACCTTGCTCATGTCTGCAAAACAAAAAAACAACGTTCTGTATATCGATTGAAGCACTTTTTTTTTTTGTTATAGATTTTATCATACCGAAGGATAGTAATAGCTGCCGGATGATTACGTACTGTTGTAATTTGACTTGGTATGATCTGTTGAGGATCATGACGAATTTTTCCAAATGAAAATTTTGCCAACGATTTATTCGATACATCCAATGGTCGATGATAAACTTTCGTAGATGGTTGAATAGAACTTTCATCTATTTGTTTACGTACAATACTTTCAAAATCTTGTTTTGTTTCATTACCAACATCTGAATTATCCAAATAAAGACGAGTATTGACATTAGGTATACTTTGTAAACGATAGAGACGTTTAGCTTGACGTTTATCAATGACTGTTGGTCTACGACTTTCATCAGTACTTAAGAATGTTTCAAAACCTGGTCGTGTTAATTTATTTGAATTTTCAAGACAATAAGTTTCTAAAGCAACAACTTGTGGCATTATCAACTGAACAACTAATAGATTAAAACTCTTGCCATTTACATGTTATGATGCTTGGCAACAATTCTTTTGTTTGGTTTTTCCAAGTTGTGTTTTTTACACGTCGCTAGAAAATGAATTATTTTGAGAGACATCTGTTGGGAAAATTTATTATGAAAAACAATAAGTTGTTTGGAAATGAATATTTAATTGAGATAGTTTAAGTGCAAAACTTTTCATTGATTAAATTTTCTTTAGGTAATGTTTAGTGTCCAAGAAATTTCAGATAAAATATTTTTTTATTCTCATCATTGAAATACATACAGAAGTTTTCAAAACACTTATGAAAATAGTTTACGATGATAGTTTCAGTTGTTTTCGTTATTTCTATTCTAACATATTACTATGACAAAAGCGCATTTTTCATATTGTTTGTAGATACTAACAGATTTGATGTTCTTATTTCAGAACAGAAACAAATCACAAGTGCTGAAAATTTTATAATAAACTATTTTTATTAGTGTTTTCGACGGAAATGCTATATCTTTGCAGTAATAAACTAAGTACGTGAACTGTTTTCAGAGTATTTATAATTCATTAGAGTCTACATGATGAACATACAGAGAGATGTACTAAACTTCTCTGTTATGGTAATATTTCTAAAGAGAACCTATGAACAACACTACTTTCCGTTAAGCCCCCCCCCCCCTCAAAAATCTATATCAGCCCAGGAACATCCAAATTAAATGAAACTTTCAGGATATGTTGGGGCCGGAAATGGGAGACGACCATAAAATTTTCGGCCCGAAAACTTCAGGTTTTAGGAAGATATGAACCAAAAC